ACCACATTATACGGAGGCGGTTCAGTGATGGTATGGGGTGGAATATCTTTAACAGCTCGCACGGAACTTTTTATCGTTGATGGTGGACGTCTGAATTCTGAACGATACATAACAGACATTTTAAAACCTTTTGTGACACCTTTTGCACCTTACATTGGCGATGGGTTGATTCTTATGCAGCATAATGCGAGGCACATATTGTTACTGAATATTTAAATTATGTTAATATTCAAGTCCTCGAGTGCCCAGCCTGTAGTCCAGACCTGAACCATCCTGGATTTAGCTGCGTCTGTCCTCTCAAAAAGATTAGAAAAGCCAGGAAGAGTTGTAGTTCTTGTACGCGACCAATTTGTCCAGAACACAGTACTCACATTTGCCCTAATTGCTTAGGTGCATGAAGAATATTGGTGAAGAATATTAAAAAATAAATCTTTATAATAGAATTGTATTTTTGATTTTAGACTTTATGCTTTTGTTTGTCAAAAAGTCTCACAGGTGACCAAATGTGAAATTCTAAAGCCAGCGACCAATGCCGGCCTAAGAGGGTAAACCAATCTAGACTTAGAATTGTTTTTTGTTACTTTAACATCATAAAAATTGTTTGAGACTTGATCTTCAATACTCTATGCGATCGCAAATTAACTATATCAATGCGCGTTATTGTTGTCAAGAATTGAAACATCTATCCCACAGGTGGTATTAATGCGATTGCTCGGAGTTGGTTTGATTTAATAAAATTTTGTGGATTCAGAAAACTGCCTCGTTTCATTTATCAATCATTTAAATCATATAGTTGTAAAATATAGTCATGTTGTTACTTAAGCTGTTTGCTACAATAGTATTTTAAATTCTGCAAAACAAGAAAAAGTCTTATTTAAACAATTGCAATCCAACGTTGTATGGGTTGGTTACTTTAATTGAATGAATCGTTGGTAAAATTGTGACTGATGTAGTAAAATCGGAATATTCCAAGGTTTGTGAATATTGGAACAAAGAAACACACTCCGAAGAATATGCAGATAGGGTAAAATTTTTAAAGGTATCATAGCAGCTAAGCCGTGTGAGATTTCACGGGTAATTAGTAGAATTTTTTTAAGAAGACCAGAATCAGCTAATTGAGTTCAGATTTAAAACTGTTCATAAATTTATGCATATAAATTTAAATGTTCCTACTTGAAATCTTTCTTGTCAATACAATATATCAACATAAAATCGTCAGTTTAGTTAGGGGAAGGTGTTGTACCTTGGACCGTTTAATTTCTAAAGCTATCAGATATTTGATTGAGATTTGATCCAAGTTACCATACAGGGTTATACCTGGGAACGACGTTGAGTGTACCTTGTACCAATTAGTAACTAAACAAAACTGATCATGGAGACCTCGAATGAATGTTGATCTCAATGCCCTAGTTGGTGATGAGGACATAAGCAGATTTGTTAAATTTCAGCGATTTAGATGGCTGGGACACATAAGAAGAATGGAGGAAATATGGATAGAAGTGCAAAAATCCTTACAGAATGGAAACCAACAGGGAAAAGACCTAGAGGAAGACCTCGTAAAAGATGGTTGGATGACATGCAAGATGACTTGAGGGCTATGGGAGTGAGAGACTGGTGGAAGACTAAGGAGTAGACGGGAATGGCGTAGAATTGTTGAGAAGGCCAGAACCCACCAAGTGTTGTAGTGTTGTAGCCAAAGGAAGAAAGGAAGAAGAAAGTGTTATACGTTTGGTATACTTTCCAAGACATCAAATGAACGATATCGTCCAACATCGCCGAGTTCGCTTGCGGGCGAAACGGTGGTTTCGACATATCAACACAAAGTCGTTAGTTTTGGAGGATTCTAGTACCAGTTTTAAATTTTCTTGCTTGAGGTCTTTTGTATCCTAAGTTTTAATCGAGAAGTTAACATAAAATATCGGATATGACACTTAATTGACATAACTATATCAACATAAAGCTGGTATAAACTATCAGTTCTAGCACCTCGCCCGCAAGCTACCTCGGCGAAGTGAGAATAAACGATTTTTTATGCAAGTGTTGTACGTTTAACATACTTTCCAAGACATCAACTGAATGATATCGTCCAACATCCGAGGTCGCTTGCGGGCGAGACGGTGGTTTTGATATATCAACATAAAATCGTCAGGTTTGGAAGATCTAGAAGTTCTAGCACCAGTTTTAAATTTTCCTGCTTGAAGCCTTCTTTGTCCTAAGTTCTAATCTACGAGTTAAAATAAAATATTGAGTCTAATACTTGATTTTTTCGATATACCTTCTGATGTTTCAAGAATTATTCAACTGCAGAACTCCTCTCGACCATGGAACCTACAGAGTCGTTCATATTAATTTTCAACAGGTCTACAGCCCTTAACTAAAGAGGTTAATTGTTTTGGAATTTAAATGAATAAACTGGTCACCTAAGTGACTTGAGAAATAGAATCTAGAATTCGCCATGTTCACATCGCATCTTGATATCTCCATGTGACAGTTAACCTATCTCTAACTCCATCCTAAACATACTTTCTTTTGCCCTTTGTTATGCAGCAAAAGGAGAAAGAACTAAGTTGGTACGATGAAACAAAAAGACAGAGACTCGATTGTTCCTCAATGGAACTGACCATAAATGGGATGATTTTTCCGAAACCTGAAACTTTAATTAAATATTTTTTTAAAACTATATTCTTTAAATGAATATTTTTAACTGATATTAAGCAAAAAAATGTTTTATTTGAATTGAATAAAGTTGATTTGAAATAAAGTCAAAACTAAAGATTGCTTTAGTAATATTTGAAGATTAAACTTGATCGAAACAAAAAATATTAAATTAATCTCATAAATCTAAAAAAAATACGTGGAACACCTTTAAAACCTTAAAAAAAGTTTAAATCCTGAAAACGTGTCTGTAACAAAAATAAACCTTCTCAAAAACATTCATTACACAACCGCTTTATTTACCCAGGTCAAAACAGTTACCTTGTAAACCAGTCAATAAAAATAACAATATCCTGTGGGTGGCCAAAAAATAAAAAAAAATGTGATGAGAATAATGTGACCACTACAGAAAAAAATATCCCTTAAAATATTTACAACATATTCTAGTCCTCGAGATCTTTAACAGCGATACATCTTAAAACAATTTTGGCCAGACGCCCTCAAGAGGAAACGAACCAGACGATAAGGGCGACATCGGTCAAGGTTTTTCCGTTCAAGGGGTCGGTTGTCTCCTCCTCGCACCCCCTTTTTTCTGTAGGATCAGAAATCTCGACGCAGCGCCGTGGTTTACGGTTTTAAGATCCGGGGGGCGATGGTCGGTGACCGCAACTGTATTCTTGACCTGTCACAACATCTTGTCCCTATTTTTTGCTGGTGGCCCCTTATTTGGTACGGTCACTATACTGACTTTTTCCGGACCGCAAGGTGGATGCATCCCTTTAACGGTACTTTTACTACCGCCACTTTAGAACAAAGAGGGGGACTAGAAAAAAATGGTTTAAATTTTTTTGTGTGTTTAAGTATTTAATTTAATAAAAATGTTTTTTTGTGCTTTGTTTGGAGGGTAAATTTGAATCCCTAACGGAATTTCGACTCTTCGCGTATGTAGAGTCGTAGACTAAACATGTTTTGGATACTTTTTGGGGGTCCGTTAGAAAAAGAGGGTTGGAGGATGAATTTGAAACCGTCACCTTATGGTTTCAATCTGTCAATACTCTCCACCCAAACGAATCGTTTAAAAATTTATTTTTCTTGGACACTTCAATTTAATTTTACTTTGTTTTATTTAAAAAGAATTTTGCCACAAAGTCTTTTTTTGAGCCCAAGTATTTAATAAAAGGGGAAAAGACAGCGAGTGACCACTACATACAAAAGAATTAAATGTAGGGTCCAATAACAATCGGATAAGAAAGCGAAGAGGAAAGCGCTTACAATCACCATATGGCGTTAACTTTTTGAAAGAGTCAACTTCGCCCATGTGTCTTCCATAATCATAGACATTACGCGACCATTTTCGGCGTTCGTTGTAACACTTGCAATATAATCGGTCTCGTCACTTGGACTTTTATATTAAATTTTTTAAAATTAAACAAGAAAAAATTTATTTTTAATTTTAATCTTGTATATTAGAGTCATCTATTTGTTAATGTTTTAAACATTTATCTTTAACTGATAACGTTATCTATTACAAAATACCAAGAAACAGTTAACTATAATCCCTTTAAACTTTAAATTTAAACGGGACTTTTTATTTATTTTTTTTTATTCTTTACTTTTTATATTTTTTTCCATTCCCACAGAAAACGGATACTCCATCTAAACACATGATGCAGCGTCGATTTCATTCCTACATCTCCGTCAAATGCAACTTAAAAAAAATCCCATGAGACTCCCAAAAAAGCCCCATATCCTAGTAGTGCAAACCGATCTTGCACCTTTTATTGTCCATTCTATAGAAATAAAAAACGACCGTGAGCGTTTTTTTTCTTTCCTTTCTCTGGGGGTACCAAATTAATCCTAGAACGGAACGGGGCTTGAGGTTCCCTAACTTAAAAAAAATCTGCCCCTTTTCCTGTATAAGCGCGCACCACGTAAAGAAGACGAGGAAGAAGGAATGATGGTTGAGGGGAGCAGTGAGAGAGAGAGAATAGAGTTCGATAATAAAAAGTGCAGGGCTGCGGAGAACGTTGGCATAAAAAAGGTGGCTTAAAAAACGGTCAGGGGACGCGGTGGGCCTTCTGCGGACCAGATGGCCCCGCTCTTGAGATGCACCCGGGAGGCTGCGGGTACCTTTGACCCCTTTGCCTGAGAAAAAAATTGTCCGTGGTGCCATCCAGGTCTTTGGCCCGTGGGATTTTTTTCCTAAGAAAAAAAGATGTTAAAAAAATTAGAGATCTCATTGCTTCACCAAGATAATTAACAATAAAAAAAATACAAGAAAAAATGAACGTGACAGAGTAGAAAATTATTAAAATTAAATTAAGGTACTAACAAAAAAGATACCCTCAGATTTTTTATCATGTATTTTTTTTTAGTTTATCCAGTAACTGATATATTTATGGTAATATAACGGTTAAACAAAATTTATTTCCTTCCGGATATAATTAAATAAGAAATTTTTGAGTATTCCTTGTTTTTCGAATATTCCTTTTCGATATTTTCGCACAATTCATTTAAATATTCTTCTTTTAGTTCTTCAGGAATAGTTTCATTTAATAACGTGAATGCTTTGGTGAACTCTGAAATACAAAGAAAATAACTTATGTATTACCACTACAACTGTTTGAATCATAGAGACAGTAATAAAAATTTTAAACAATTCACTATTTGTTTATTTAAATACTTTCTATCTTCAGAAAATGAGGAACCTGAACAATTAACTACAAAGATTTGCAGATTTGCGCTGCTTTGTGGTTGAGTTGGGATATAAATCTTCTGCTAATGTGCAAATGGGTTGGGTTGCTTTAGGACTGATTGTGAGTTGAGATATGTTTTAACAACTGCTTTGGGGTTGGGTTGGAATATCATTAAATGCTGAAGCTTTACTGGATTAGCTTGATTTGGGGTTTCATTGGGATATCCAATAACTGCTGATGTTTAAATGGATTGTGTTGCTTTGCCGTTTGGTTGAATATCCGTTTATTATGGAGGATTAAATGGGTTGGCTTCAAAATTCCTTAATTGCTTGCTATATACAGCAGTAGTACAAATTGGTTGTAATTCAATATCTAAAGTCTTTAATATCTAAAATCCCTGAGAAATCCGAATCAGTTTGATTGGTGTGAGAAATTCAAAAGTAATAATCTTTACCGAATTGAGTTTAAAGATTCCTGAAGACCACGCAAATGTTCCTGATAGTAATAGAAACATCAATAACGTAAGTTTCGGATCAATCTCACATCAGAACTAATCCAGAACTCAGAAAGGCTACTATGTAGGTGCATTACAGCAACCGGAAAGCTATCTACAGTTATATATAGATGTTGTATATATTTGGAACCCAATTTACGTAAAAGTTATAGTTGCAAGAGATGCTGTTCTTTATACTACCCACAAAAAGTTAAATGTTTAGTAGAATCAAGACACTTCCCTGTACATTTCGAGCGTAGATTTGATTGCATACGCAAAAGATAGTGAAGAGCTAGCGCGTACACACAAATAGTGATCCCATTTGTAAATCGAATGATCACAATGTCTATCACAAACATATTTAAAGTCATTTGTAACTATAACAAATGCTGTGGTTGTATTAAAGCCCTTTGAAAAACTTGTTGAAACTAAACTCCTCAAGAGCCTTTTAAATCGAACACAAATTAGGTTAGTTCGAAAATCGTCAAAGGTATTAACGTTTGTAACTTATTGGCAGATGAGTAATGTTTTTGATTGAAAAAAATGGAGAGTATTCAAGAGAAAACTCGTATAATAATAGTATGTAATGAAGTCACTTCGAACAAGTTTCTGAAGAAGGGTGCAACATGGCATCCGAAACGGCAAACCTTTTCTTAAAAGACGCACGGCAAAACCCGAAAGTGTTAGTTCTAGTTTTAGTTCTAATTTTAGTTCAAAGACTACCTTGATGGTGTTTATAATTGCAAGGCTTTCAATAAATTTTTCTAAATGCGAATGTTCCAAGAAGCAGAAAACTAGAGATATACGTTTTGGATATAGTTATCTGAGTTGATGTAAGGTACAAAAATCAGTCTGCTTGAACTGTTGGGAAAGACCATAGATAGTAAAATCCATAAAGCATAGAAGAGATGTCATCCTGATAAAGATGATTGAACTATCACAAAAGTGATGATCACAAGTATTGGGATGAAAACTCTTGAATTGTACTGCACAACGATTGTTGAACATTCCAACAAAGATATAATTTGACAAAATCTCTATCCATCAAGTCTCAAGTATTGAAAATCAACACAACTCTCGTTGTTTCGTGAAACTACATAGGGAATCCAATACGAAATAGACCATGCAGTAGTGTTAACTAATAATATAGATAATGTTATTTGTAATGATGGGTAGTAAAATTTATTGGCGTAGTAGAACATCTGTGATTAATCTAAAATGATTTTAAAATCAACCAAAATCTGGTCATGGAAGCAGAAATGTTACTAACAAAGTCATCAAAATACTTCTAATTTGTTTTGATTTCTATATGTTTGGAATTTGCTAGCTTCTATTATTTGCTTTTAAGCTGCTAATGAGACCCAGTAGTAGAAGGAACTTGTTCTGAAGATGAAGATAAGATCATGATGGTGTGTTAAGAAATGTTAAATGTACTAAAATGCTTTGCTTGCGAAAGAAAACCTCAGAAATTATTAAAAGAAAATTTATCAGGTGAGTAAATGATTTTTTAAACCTACTATAAGAAGCTTCCTTATTTTTTAATGGTGTATCAAATACGATTTCGTTATAAATAAGATGTTTAAATCCTCCCTCCTCTAAATGGCGAATAATCCAATCTGTTGAGTTTTCATTTATGAAGAACTCGGAGCACATAGCGTTCTTTTTTTGATATGTTTCCCATTTTTTTTGTTTACTTAGATAAAGTTGTTGTTTTACCATCGCGTTAGTTAAGCATAGCATAAAAAATATTTGACCATTTGGTTTTAAAACGTTATAAATATTTTTAATCCAAACTCTAAAAAAAAATTATAAATAATATTAATATAAATTAAGTTATAAAAAGCTTACTTGGGATTTGGTACGATCATAAAACACAAAATCGATAAAACTTTATGGAAATGTTCTTTATACCCAACCCAGGCGTTTACATCTAAAATATCGGCTTGTTTGAATTGAATATTTTCTCGATTTGGAAAGGATTTTTTTGCCAAATCAATCATTGAGTCCATCAAATCGATTCCTAAAATATTATAATTTTTCGTGTTCTCCATAACCATTTTTTCTAAAATGTGTATTGTGGTTGACCCTTCTCCGCAACCAACATCTAAAATTTCTTCTTTTCCTTCGGATTTCCATTCCAATACATTTTTAAAGCTATTTACAATAAATTTTGTATGGGTTTTAATGAAATTTTCGGTAACTTCTTGATATAAAGTAGCATCAAACATTTTTTAACAGCGAATGGAGACACAATTTTATTTTTAAATTGACGACAATTTTTATCAAAACGATAAGGGTATCATATGTTAAGTATTTTAGATAATACTTCAACAAATTAACGTTAAAATAATTCTTTATTAAAACATTATTTTCTTGTTATAATAACAACATAAGAAATATGAGAGTAGCTTTCGTCATTCAAGTTTCCATAAGCTAAAATAGTGCTTTTATAGACAAAATAGTTTTTTTAAAACATTATTTTCTGGCTGTAATAAAATCATAAGAAATATACGAATACTTTTCGTCATTTAAAACTTCTTTTTCGATATTTTCACACATTTCATTCAAATATTCGTCTTTTAATTCTTCAGGAATGTTCTCGTTCAATGATGTAAAAGCTTTTACAAATTCTAAAAATTGTTCTTGATTGAATTTATATTATTAAGTTAAGAAATTAGTTATAACGTACGCATTGCAGATTTAAAATCTTTTAAATTAGTATCGTAAACAATTTCATATTGTTGTATATCTTTAAATCCTCCATTTTTTAAGTGTTGAGTAATCCAAGATGTTGGGTTATCGCTTAAAAAGTAATCGGAGAGAAAAAGATTTGATTTTTGGTATTTTGACCATTTCTCTTGTTGGCTAAGAGAGAGGTGTTGTTTCATCATGGGATTTGTTGATGTTAATATTAAAAATATTTGACCATTTTGTTTTAAAACGTTGTAAATATTTTTAACCCAAATACTAAAAATTAAATTTATTAATTAATTAAATCAATTTTTGTACTTACGTTGGGTTTGGTACGACCATAAAGCACAAAATTGAAAATATCTTCGTAAAGCACTCCTTGTAATTCAACCAGAGTTCTTCATCTAAGATATCTGCTTGCTTAAATTGGACACGTTCGTGAAAATAATCATTTTCGGCTAAATTAATCATTGGTTGTAACAAATCAGTTGCTAAATAATTAAAATTTGAAACATTTTTTGAGATCAAATCAACTAAAACTTCAATTGTTGTTGAACCATCACCACAACCAATTTCTAAAATATTTTCATTTTGATTCCAATTTAGCAAATTACTATAATAATTTGTGATCTTTTTGGTGTGGGGTCTTAAAAAATACCCACATGCTTCACGATATAATTTCGGGTCGTACATTATAGACGATTTCAACGTTTAAGAAAAAATAATAATTGTTGTCGTTATTTTAGCGTATTTATACCTTTTATTTTAAGCAGGTATAATTAGTACAATCTCGATAATCCGGCATCATAAAATTTTTAGCACTGCCGGATTACAGAATATAACGGATTACTGGGTTTGATGCCAAAAAATTTACTATACAAGATAACAAACAAAATATATTAGCACAAAGAAAATTAAAAAGAATATAAAAACATATATAAAGAATAGTTATAAACAATACTTATTTGTTAACAATACGGCATTTCAACTAAACAATCTCATACATAGTGCATATGAATCAAGCTATGCAATAAAAGACAAAAGAGCACAATTCAATGTGCCTTGGTGGAATAAGGACCTTGAAAAACAGCGAGTGATGGTTAGAAGACTATATAACAAAGTCAGGCATTCCAAACTCGAGCAAATATGGGACCTCTATAAGAAAACCCTAACGGAATATAACTTGGCTATCCTTAAGCCAAAAGAAAAGCCTGGTGCAGCTTCTGTGAAGGCATAGACAATACGCCTACAGTTGCTCGTCTGCATAAGATCTTGGCAAAAGATCACAACACTGATCTAGGCCACCTATGCAAACAAGACGGTAAATACACTGAGGATGCTAAGGAATCGTTGGAGCTCCTACTGAGTACACACTTCCAGTCCTCAAAAATCTGCCCCCACGCAGATGCCGACCATGATGTAATGGACATAACCCGTCCATCAGGTAGGGTTCGCAGCATAGCTGGCAACATTTTTACACCCAACAGAGTGAGGTGGGCTATTTCTAATTTCAAGCCCCTAAAATTGCCTGGAGGAGATGGAATTCTGCCTATTTTTCTGCAAAAAGGCTTAGAAGACCTGCTCCCAGTAATAATACCCCTATATATTGCTAGCTACAACCTTAGCTATATACCCACACTATGGAAGAAAGTAAAAGTGGTCTTCATATCTAAAGGTGGTAGGCGTTCAAACGCCGACCCCAAGGCATACGGACCAATTAGAATAACTTCATTTCTCCTCAAAGGGATGGAAAAGGTAATAGCTAAGGTATACCTTAGGAATGGAGTGTTTGTCACTAATCCACTCCATCCTAGCCAACATGCTAGGGTGGATTTTGGAGCAGGCAATTGCAACCAAAGGGTTAGCCTTATGTGCTTTCACAGTCATAGAGGGTGCGTTTGATAACACCTCCTATGAATCCATAGAGAAGGCCCTAAACGTAAAAGATATACATCCGTCGACAATCAAATGGTGTATAGCCATGTTGAAAAGTCGGCAGATCACAGCCAGTCTGGGTGGCGAGTCGCTGATTATAAAGGCGCTAAGAGGATGTCCCTATGGGGGTAGAGTGCTATCACCTCTATTATGGTGCCTGGTAGTTGATGACTTAAGGGATCTAAATTTGTCATTTAGTCCATGTGCAGGTGCGTTATCTAAAATGAAAAGACCTTTCGGTAGAGGGTTCTTGCTTTTCAAGAAACGTCGTACTGCTGGGGTAAAATCATTGTGGAACTATTCTATGAATACTTTTTTGATAACCCATGCATTCTTTTGGTTTCTGTATATAAGTGGTAGATCAATGTTTTTAAATGCCCTATGTGATTTCGCTTTGCCTATAAACAAATGCTGGAGTTTATGTGTACCACTAGCATTAGCACAAGGCATAATAGTAACCTTGTCTTTGAACACTTTTCTGCCTTGTGCTTCCCGCTCTTCCCTATAAATATATTTCTTGTTTGACAAAACTTTCCAGAACAATCCATTTGAATCGGTATTGTACACTTGATCTGGAGTTAAATTAAGAACATGTAGTGTTTTCCTGATGTTATTAATCTCCGTTCTTATATTTCTCTTATATTCAATAGGTAAAGAATATATATGATTTAATGAAACGTGATGAGTAAACGCGATTTCAGCATTCGGTGATATTTTCTTGGTACGATAAGGCCCTAGAATAGAATATCTGTTCAATAGTCAAAGAAACGTCTAAATATGACTTCGAAATGGTGCATATTGGTGATATTCTTATCTAGATCGACCTGTATAATAATATATTGTAATCCCAAATATTATTACAATGTATTAAATTACTTTATAAAATTTTAAATAAAAAATTCAATTTATTACTTTCTTCGAATAAAATTTAAATGTTAAGATTAAATTTCATTTTGGGAGTTTAATTTTTTTCTTTAAATACTCGTTTATTCCATCTCTTTTTAATAACGTAATAAAACTCGAACACAATTTGAAAGTCACCCTCACTCACAATCAGTTACCAAGAAGTAAAGAGAACGAAAATTTCAAAGATGTTCGACGTTGAATTGTACAAGAAAATGTCTCAGTTTCAAAAACTAGCTTCCAAAAACGGTGTAAACGCTTACAGCGAGTTTATTAGATGGTCCAAAAATGGGAAAATTTTAGATGTTGGGTGTGGTGAAGGTTCGACAACGGTTGATCTTTTGTATCCGTTGATAATGGCAAATTCTTCAAACTCCAAATTAATCGCGATGGATTTAGAAGAAGATATGATTTCTGCTGCTAACGCTAGTTATGGTCATATGAACATCGATTTTATCCAAATGGATATAACAAACATAAACGAAAATAACAACAAATACAAGAATTATTTCGATAACGTGTTTTCGTTCATTTGTCTACATTTAGTGAGCGATTTGTAAGTATAAATGGATTTTTTTTTTGTAATTTTTGTTCCGTGATTTACTTTATTAGAATATGGATAAAGAATATATATGATTTAATGAAACGTGATGGGCAAACTTTCTTCATAATTCCAGCAAATAATCCAGTTTTTACTGCAGTTATGGAGCTGCGTCATGAAGGAAATTATATTGAATATGTTAAAAAAGTCGAGCACGTTTTCAACACTCCATTTGCTCAATTAAATAATCCTGAAGATTGGATTAAACCTTTAATGGAAAAAGAAGGATTTAAAAATGTTAAATGTTTCAAATTTCCCCAAGATTTCACTTTTGAAAGTTTCGATTATTTAAAAAGTGTTAAACAAGTTGAGTAATTTCGTTATATTTTTGTAACAAATTTTATATTTTAGGGTTCATTGCAACTTTTCAATTTTTAATTAAGGAAATTCCAACTGATGAACAAGACGATTTTATCGAACAAGTTGCTAATCGTATTATAAGAATATCAACTTTTGATGAGACCACTCAAGAAATTCATGCAAGCTGTTTTATTCTTGCTATTATTGCAGATAAATAATTGTAATTAAATCTAAATTAATTTAGTTTTCATGTTTTGTAATTATAAATAAATAGTTATTTTTGATAGTAAATGATAATTCTCTTTTTTAAACATCGCAATTTTAATTACATCTTGAAAAGAACATATTTCTTACTTATTTACAGAAACGTTAAAATATACTAACCGTTATCAAGATAATTATACTTAAAGTAGAAGGTATAATAAAATATGATGTAGGTAAAAGCAAAAACTTTTTAAGAAATACTATATTAGAGAAATATGGAGAATTTCATACCATTTATAGAAGGTATAAATTAGCTAATTAACTACAACAATTATTATTCTTTCTTAAACGTTGAAATAGTCTATAATGTACGACCCCAAATTATATCGTGAAGCAAGTAGTCTTTTTGTGACATCCCACATCAAGAAGATCATACATTGTTATAGCAATTTACTAAAGTGGAATCAAAATGAAGATATTTTAAAAATTGTTTGTAGTGATGGTTCAACAACAATCGAGATTTTAGTTCTTCTTCTTGAAACCAGGGGTAATAACTTGGGTAGCTGGGCTTATATAGCCCTTTTACCACCAGTCACAATTATTTTTTATATCAGTTTATCTTCAAATTAGGTAGCCCTGTGGGGAGATAAAGTTCCAAAAATCAAAAACAATTCAAATAAGAAGAATTACCGGCAGGGGGGAATGATCCTTCCTTACTACCTTAACCCATTTAAACTACTTTAAATTCCTTAAGCACCTACATATCTGAAATGTTGTTTAACATGGCAAAACTGACGTCGTCTGAACCGGGGGATGTCGATTTTTTAAATTTCAAAGCTAACTCTAATTCCGTTCTGTTGAATGGTTTGCCTATATTAATGTCTGACTCCTCAATTCTACCGGTTTCAACATCTTCCAAATTAGGCACATACTCCGGGCAAAGGTGAGACATAAAATCCTGGGTCCATGCGAAATCTGTAGATATTTGGGTTTCAGTGCCATTAATGGCTCTGTCGTAGTGCCTTATGGTGACTTATCATTCTAATGATGACTACCTGGATAGTGATTCGCAGAATTGTTTGAAAGATTCTCTTTTCTTTTTGAGTAGTAGTTTTTTGCTCAAAGCCAAATACCTCTTGACTATGATAAAATTAATCTCGCTGGGACACGTCATAAACTGCCTGGTTACCATCTTTCTAAACCCCACAATTCTTGCTTAATCACTATCCCACCATCTACTAATCACTATCCGCCTCCCTTATTGCCATTATCAATGCTTCGTAAGAAGGTGATGTTTCCAGCTTTAAACAGTTGTCAATATGTTCTGAAAAACTAGTTCAGTTCGCCTTCTTGTAGTTAAACCTGTCAGTTTTCTGGGTTTTGGATTTGAGAGAATGGAGTAATACTGGTAGGTACCTTAGCTAAAACAGGAAAATGATCACTCCCCAAAGTGTCTGTATCGGTTTTTGAAACAACGTTTCGCGCAGTATCCGACGAACAAACAATTAAATCTATAACGCTGACTTTGTTATTTCTATTTAAAAAAGTTGTTCTTTTTTCATTCATCACGGTCAAATCCAATGTTTCAATTAGCTCGCTCAATCAAGGCTTCTTTCGTTTATGGCGTAACTCCCCCATAAAGGATGATGTGCATTAAAATCACCGAAAATAATAAAAGGTGCAGTAACATTGAAGAGTAATTGGTTCCAATCATAAATACTAAAACCTAAATCAGGGGGAATATACCGTGAACTTGGCAAAATAAATTCTCTCCTCGATCACCATCGGATCGACCATGCCGCTTGTACACCTCTTTTGATCAAAATGGAAAGTCCTATATACCCATCAGTTCTTGTGATATGTCTAGCATTAAAACCGGGAGTACTTACCAAAAAAGTTTTCTTACTTTGTGCAGTCGTTCTGTTACTGTTTGTATTTAAATCTTTACTAGCTTGGCTATTAGAAGATACCCTAGGAAAATTAATATCATGATTTAGTCTATTAATAGCAAACTGTTTGTCCGAGGACTTGTTAACCGCCATCAGTGCTTCGAAAGCAGAAATATGGTAAGTTGCCATTAGTTTTTTAATTGTAGATTGCTTGGTAAATTCAGTACAAATTCTCCCAGCAAAAGGAATACACATCTCTGTTGATAAATGATCACCCCTACAGAAAATACACTTAGGCTTTCTTTTTTTGTGCATTGTTTAAAATCATGTTCTTCTGCACACCCGAGACATTTTAATTTAGATTTACAGATTTTCTTAGTATGGCCGTATCGACAACATTTGTGACATTGCGCTACTGGTGCTGTATATAATTCAGTTCTTCTTACATTAAAACACAGTTTGATGTAACTTGGAATTACCGTCCCTGCAAAACTAACTAATAATGTTGAAGTATCTCTGTATTCAAATTCTGTTTGAGAACCTGAATCTCCACTAACATCTTTGGCTACATTCCTTCTAAATCTTCTGACTCAAAGAAGTTCCCTCTCGTTGTCTGCAATTTAATGTCCACTTCGGAAAAGGATGTGTCAATGTTTCTAATGATAGCTCTGCAAGTGATCAAGTGTGTTGGTATGTAGGTCGTCTAATTATTCACAAAAATTTTTTAGCATTGACATTTGAATCAAATTCGATTGCTAGTCTATTTTTCCCTACTTTTAGTCTGATCATAGAAGTATTTACCTATTTTCATGTCACTTAAACCTGTTATATTCTTGTCTATAGATTCGATGTAAACAATGAAAGGAGACGAATCCACATTGGAAAAACGACAGTTATTAAAATTAAATAGCAAATTATCAAACATACATCCCTTATCTTCTAAGATTCTGTTCCTAAGATTAATAATATCGTCCGCAATAATTAATTTTTCTTTATCATTAATCTGGATACATCCACGCTCAATGGCCAATTTACATTGTGCAGCGTTTAAATTCATGTGATTAGATGTCCTAGAGTCAAGAAGATTGGTTATATTTGCCTCAATATATCTCACAAACTCAAGAGCATCATTAAGATTTATTTTATCAGCAAAATTATCAAAATCTATAGAGTCAAGTTCATCCTTCATGTTAACAAAACGGTGGAAGTGGCTTTCCACCCTCGCCCTCAACTACTAATATCACCAAGCCAAGCAAAAACCAACTACCAAGCAAAGCGAAAATCAGCAAAGATCAAACAACTCAACACAGGGCTACCAAAGTTCCTCAAAAACTGATAGTGCGAGGTGAACCCAGAACACGTGCTTTACGTCACCACGAACTGTCGAAAAGAGAAAGATTTTAGTTGATTTAATCTCAAAAAATGTTTCAAATTTTAATTATTTAGCAACTGATTTATTACAACCAATGATTAATTTAGCCACAAATGATTATTTTGACAAACGTGTCCTATTTAAACAAGCAGATATCTTAGATGAAAAACTCTGGTTGAATTACAAGGAGTGCTTTACGAAGATATTTTCGATATTTTAAGATATTATTTTTTTTGGTTTTCTAGTCCTGGCGACATAGTCCATGCTTCGTATCCATATGTTGTTCTTGATCTTATAATGGGGCGTTAGATCTCGATTTACGATTGTCTGTCTAATATTTTACTCCTCATTCAGTGTTTGTGGACTTATTGTAAATAAAGTACGTATCCTGGCTTCGATTTTTCCTTGACATTATTAGGTTTGTTTACTCTGGATCCCAAACATATGATCTAGTTGAAATAAGTATATTTTTCCCTCAGTAGGCATATATTCAAGCTCGAGAATGATAGCTTCTAAAATGATGATTAAACTTCTGTGGTATACCCAGTTTTGCTAGGTATTGTACAGGTTCATTCAATTTTTCTTGTATATTCCGTAGAATGTGGATATGATCTAGCGTACTTTGACATAGTGTCATTCAAAATTATTCCTTTCTCATCGTTGTACAGTGAAATTCCCCTAACTCGAATCACTAAGGGAGCGGAAGAAAAGTTCGAGTTATGAAGAATTCGAGTCAGAGAAAAATTAGTAGAATTTCACCTCTAACGAAAAAAATTAGAAATAAACTTTTCTAATACGTATACTTAAAACAGAAACTTTAATACTATTATAAGTAGAAAATTAATCAAGTTTTTTAAAATAATCCGTGATTTTCTTTTGGCTTAAAGGAGACAACCGCTCTTTGTCGAAAAAATCTTTTTATTAAATGTAAAGAATTATGAATATTATCTGGAACATTCTCTCTTGATAATACATAGGTTTCAATCTCTCTAAGAGAGGAATAAGCTTCATCAAATGTTCGAACCATAAAATCACCCAAATAAAAAAATATTTACTTACAGAACGGATTTGAATTTTTATTCTTTGGTAAATTCGACTTATAGAAGTAAGAGTTGAATAAATTCCATAGTAGTTCAGTTCGAGTTATAGAGAAATTCGAGTTAGTGAAATTCGACTTAAAGAGATAAAAACACATTTGAAACCTAGTCAGACGCTTGAGCTTACGAAAATTATTCGACTTAGACGATAATTCGAGATATAAAAGTTCGAGTTAGGCGAATTTCACTGTATATTGCTGTATTATTTATCTTAGTATTATCCATTCATCTTCAAATTCTATTAGGGCTGTGGTTTTATTTAGATTATCAATAGCATATCGCCATATCATCATCTCTTATTTTCAACATACAATCTGTATTCGCTTACATACAATGTTATCAAAGTTTCCATAAGATAAATTGGACTGTTAATTAAAGAAGGCAAAATAGTTTTATTTATAACATTATTTTCTGGCTGTAATAACATCATAAGAAATATAAGAGTACTTTTCGTCATTTAAAACTTCTTTTTCGATATTTTCACACATTTCATTCAAATATTCGTCTTTTAATTCTTCAGGAATGTTCTCGTTCAATGATGTAAAAGCTTTTACAAATTCTAAAAATTGTTCTTGATTGAATTTATTTTATTAAATTAAGAAATTAATTATAACGTACGATATGCAGATTTAAAATCTTTTAAATTGGTATCGTAAACAATTTCATGTTGTTGGATATCTTTAAATCCTCCATTTCTTAAGAGTTGAATAATCCAAGATGTTGGGTTATCGCTTAAAAGGTAATCGGAGAGAAAAAAATTTGATTTTTGGTATTTTGACCATTTCTCTTGTTGGCTAAGAGAGATGTGTTGTTTCATCATGGGATTTGTTGATGTTAATATTAAAAATATTTGACCGTTTTGTTTTAAAACGTTGTAAATATTTTTAACCCAAATACTAAAAATTAAATGTATTAATTAGTTAAATCGATTTTTTTTACTTACGTTGGGTTTGGTACGACCATAAGGCACAAAATTGAAAATATCTTCGTAAAGCACTCCTTGTAATTCAACCAGAGTTTTTCATCTAAGATATCAGCTTGTTTAAACGTGACACGATCGTGTAAATAATCATTTGTCGCTAAATTAATCATTGGTTGTAATAAATCAGTTGCTAAATAATTAAAATTTGAAACATTTTTTGAGATGAAATCAACCAAAATTTCAATTGTTGTTGAACCATCACCACAACCAATTTCTAAAATATTTTCATTTTGATTCCAATTTAGTAAATTACTATAACAATTTATGATCTTTTTGATGTGGGATTTCACAAAAAGATTTGTTGTTTCACGATATAATTTGGGGTCGTACATTATAGGCGATTTCAACGTTTAAGAAAGAATAATAATTATTATAGTTAATTAACTTCCTACTTTAAGTAGAATTATATTGATAACCGTTAGTATATTTTAACGATTGTATAAATAAGTAGAAAAGTTGCTGTTTACAATATATAATTAAAATTGCGATGTTTAAAACAGAATTATTATTGACTATCTAAAATAACTATTTATTTATAATTATAAAATATGAAAACTAAATCAACTTAGATTTGATTATAATTATTTATCTGCAATTATAGCAAGAATAAAACAGCTTGCATGAATTTCTTGAGTGGTCTCATCAAAAGTTGATATTCTTATAATACGATTACCAACTTGTTCGATAAAATCGTCTTGTTCATCAGTTGGAATTTCCTTAATTAAAAATTGAAAAGTTGCAATGAACCCTAAAATATAAAATTTGTTACAAAAATATACGAAATTACTCAACTTGTTTAACACTTTTTAAATAATCGAAACTTTCAAAAGTGAAATCTTGGGGAAATTTGAAACATTTAACATTTTTAAATCCTTCTTTTTCCATTAAAGGTTTAATCCAATCTTCAGGATTACTTAATTGAGCAAATGGAGTGTTAAAAACGTGCTCGACTTTTTTAACATATTCAATATAATTTCCTTCATGACGCAGCTCCATAACTGCAGTAAAAACTGGATTATTTGCTGGAATTATGAAGAAAGTTTGCCCATCACGTTTCATTAAATCATATATATTCTTTATCCATATTCTAATAAAGTAAATCAGGGAACAAAAATTACAAAAAAAAATCCATTTATACTTACCAATCGCCCACTAAATGTAGACAAATAAACGAAAACACATTATCGAAATAATTCTTGTATTTGTTATTATTTTCGTTTATGTTTGTTATATGCATTTGGATAAAATCGATGTTCATATGACCACAACTAGCGTTAGCAGCAGAAATCATACCTTCTTGTAAATCCATCGCGATTAATTTGGAGTTTGAAAAAATTTGCAATCATCAAGGGATACAAAAAATCAACCGTTGTCGAACCTTCACCACACCCAACATCTAAAATTTTCCCATTTTTAGACCATCTAATTACCTCGTTGTAAGCGTTTACACCGTTTTTGGAAGCTAGTGAATTTTAAAAAGTGGGTAATTTAATATTTATTGTAATAACATTTAAAAATATACAGTGTAACACATTGTATACAAATTGAAAAAGGCAAAACGAAATTCAACCACTAAGGCTAAAGGCTATAGTTTCAACCAAAAAAGTATTTAAATTTCAAGAAGAATACTAATTTGTCACAGCCCTGACAGTCATATCTACAATTTTGCCAAATCCTACTTCACAAATTGTCGATGGTTCCGTTTATTACACATATGAGGAAATAATCAATGTTTTTGAAATGGCATAAGAATATTAATGTAATTAACTCTTGAACTAACACTAGCATTATCACTAGAAGTGACAGTAGAGCTAGAACTAGAAACTTTCGGTTAAACAGTGAGTTTTTTGAAAAAGTATTTAACGTTTCGGATGTCATCAAATTTACCATGGCAACGGAAGCTGCAAAACCTTTCCTGGATGTTTTTATCTCATCAGGAGACATGGAACTGTGAGTTTATCAGAAGAAGGCACACACTATAAATAAGCAGGTATCTAGAGCTGATTCAGAGGTGATTCGCCATTCCAGCGAGCAGAAATGATAGGTGATGAAAAGAATTTAAAGAAAGAAGAATGATTTTTAGAAGATGTACTCCAGAACAACAGCTTCACTCCGAAGGATATCCAGCGAGCTATCAAGCAACGCAAACTGAGGGAAGACACAGTAAGTACTGCATCTTTTATCGGTCTTCCTTATGTTTTAGATGTGATGGAGCGGATTGCAAGTGTATCTGAAGAAAAACGATATTGTGGTATGATACGGTTAGCAAAAATCGGAATGTTCTTCCGATAGCTAAAGACAAACTAACTCCATTAAAGGCTTGCGTATACACGGTGCACATAAAGTAAGGAATCAATTCGATAAAAATTCATGGATATTCTTCCAGAAAAAAAGCTTGGGCATCTCTGTGTATTCTATATGTATAGGGTGTGCTACATAAAAAATACTCAAATACTCTTTAATTATTATTAATCATAAATTTAATTATCATTAAGTATATAATTAAGTAAATTTTTTTTTCAGTATTTATACCACTTTTGATATTTCTTTTTAATTTCAATTTCATTTTCTTCCACTCATTTTTTTTCTCCACATAGTTTATAGTACTCCAGTTTCTTTTAAAGAGACATATTTTCAACACATGTGATCTTCGTAAAAAGACGTTGGGACAGTGCAAATAAACGATTAAGTTCTGGGTGACGATTATCTAAGAGCGTTTGTCCACATCTGTTGGACAGTGCTTAAGAGGATAAAAGATGATTAATCATGTGATAACCGGATGTTGGAATGTTACAACAAAAATAATTTTGTGTTTAAAGGAAATTTGCGTATTTTAAATTTTAAACAAGAAAATTTCTTTCGACTTTATCGTTTCCCGTTACTTAGTTCTCTTTGTCTTTTTTCCTGCTTAGTTCCGCCTGCGTTTTGTCGTTTTGTCATTCCAATAAAGACTTTTCACATCGTTGGGTTTCTTTAGGATGTACGCGTGCCTAGATTTCGTCTATTGTTATTTATTTTTTTCTTCAACAAATTTTCGCTTCGAAATTAACGGTTAGAAAATAAGAAAGTTTTTTTTTGTTATCGTAGAAATCGAAATTATTCATCAAAATCTACCATCGAAATTAACCATTCAAATAATTAGCAATTTTTTCAGTAACTGACCATGAATGGACATTGATCCAAAAAGAAATCTCAACAGCTCTTGAAAGAACCCTAAAAATGCCTTACGTCAAATTTCGTACAGAGTGGTCACAAAGGATTTTTTTATTTTATAAAGAGAGAACTAAAAAAAAAGTTCAATAGCTCCGGAAAAAACTATAGAATCCTGAGATGCCCATCTAAATGCCATTATTCGGCACCGTATGGTGTCAGATATCGGGGACTAACTGTAAACAGCGAGTTCTTTATCGGTTATCGGAATCTACCCTCTATTAAAAAAGAGAGAAAAAGAGGAAAAAAAAACAGCAAAGGGGCAGTAAGACCGTGAAGAAAGAAAGATGTGAAAAAAACTCTGCACACATTGACCCGGGACAAAGATGACCGTGCCCTTGATTGGAAGGGAACAGGTAATTCCTTTAGATAGCCGTGGGATTTTTTTCTTCTTCGTTTTTATAATAGCGGTCAGGTAGTGAATCAAATTTCGCACTGAGTCCATTTCTTTTTTATCCAAGTCAATTAAAAAAGTTTTTTTTATATTTGTAGACAATATTAATTTGGATCAAGTATTTTGTTGGTCTATATTCATCCTTTTAAACATGTCTGCAGATCTGATCATACTTTACTGTATGGTGTATTTAGCAAATTACTATGTGTATTTTTACATTCAATTGTCATTATTGCTTTGAACATGTCCCAATCTTAGATAGTTAGCATCTATCCAAGCTCTCTCCTGTATACGCAAGCGAAGAATACAAAGTAGGAAATAGGGAGGTTAAAATCCTATGCAATGCAGACGATGCTATGCACTGCAGATGATCTCCAGAGAGGCTACTGCATCAGTTTAATAAAACAGCAAAAAATTTTACATAAAATTAGCGGCAAAAGCAAAATCATGATTACTTTCAAGGCAGCGATGAGATACAAGCATATGGTCGATGATAAAATCATGCTCCAGGAAATTTGCATACAATATGTCGGAATAAACATGTTTGAATTAAAGCCATAGCCCGGGTCTATAAGATTCCAATTATACCTATACTATCTTATGCAATAGAAATCTGACCAAAAATATCCAAAACATAAATGCTAGGGACTGCAGAAATGAGGAGAGAAAGATGGATAATAGGTGAAAACATTAGATAAACATACAGGGGCAAATTACCAACAGGGCGAAAGAATATTGGAAAACCTAGGAAAGATGAAGCGATAATCTTCCGAACGATTACCTAGGAGAAAAGATGTGAAGAAAAACACAGGAAACTATGCCTAAGATGATCCTGATGACTATAATGATGTGAAGAATAACACTATTTAATATTTCAGTTATCGCCAGCTCTTTGACTTTGATTTGCAGCATTTACCACTTCAATTTATCTTCAGAATAGCTAATATAAATAATAAATTGGTCTATTTTTATAACATGATTCAGCAGTTATTTGAGAAACATGCCCCTTTAGTGTTAAAAATGGTAACGAAACCATTTAAACCTTGGATTACTAGTAACACCAAATATCTAATGAGGCTAAGAGATAGTGCTAAGCTGAAATACAAAAGAATGAAACTAGATTCGGACTGGCGGTATTACAATGAGCTTCACAATTTTATTACAGGAGTTATCCATAATGAGAAAAAAGCCTATTTCCAACACGTTGCTTCTACAGCCAATTCGCGAATATTATGGAGGCAACTCGAGAGAAAAAAATCTGGTCCGCCTTTCTCATATGACGCTTTACCACAAGGATTATTCTCCGATAATAATTTTAACTTAGAATTAATTAGTGACATTGATGTGCTGAATGCAGTACACTGTATATCATGCAAGGCAGCTGATTGTGATGGCATTGATGTGGTCATGATGGGGTTGTGTTTGCCTCACATGTATTCTCTTAATGTTTGTATTGAACATTCTGTTTTCCCTAAAAGCTGGAAGACGCTCTTAGTCAAGCTTCTCCCTAAGATATCAAACCATGTAGAAGTGAAGAACCTTAGACCAATTCACTTACTGCCCATTTTGTCTAATGTTTTTGAAAAAATTATCTTTAAGTAACTATATGAATACGTCCAAGTAAATGACACATTTCCATGTCAGTCGGGATTTTGTCAGGGACATAGCACCACGACAGTTTTGTTAAAAGTGACCCGTAATCGATTTAGGCCTAAATTTAATTAGAGTATTATTGAATACTGTAATTAAATCTAATAATTTAGTAGAGCGTTCGAGACTGTTGATCGTGATGTGTTGTGTTCGGCATTGCGGTACATGGGGATTGGGAGTGAGCTGCGACAGCTACTTAGAAGTTATTTTATTGATAGATGACAAGTTGTGAAGATTGATAGTTTCCTATGAAGGGGGGTCCCACAGGGTGGTATCTTGGGTCCACTACTATTTTCGTTATATACTTCCCAACTTTCATGTCAGTTGAGGCATGCAGATTATGAACTACCTTTAACTTGAACTACCTTTAGATCAATTCTAGATAGCTGCTTATTTTGGATATACTCATAGTTCCATGTCCCCATATGTCTTCCTAGAGACCAAAACATCCATGAAAAGTAACTGTTTTGCAGTCCTCCGTTTCCGTGGTAAATTTCATCATGGGGTGTTGTAAGTTCAGCAACATGGCATCCGCAACGTTAATACTTTTCCAAAAACGCACATTTTAACCCGAAACTTTCTACTGTCAGTTCTAGTCAGTACTAGTGTTAGTTCTAATTTTAGTTCTAGAGTTAATTATCTTATATTTAGTTCTTATATCATTTCAAATACATTGATTGTTTCCTGGTATGTATAATAAATGGAATCTTTGACATTTTTTAATGCACGATTTGGCAAAATTGCAGATGTGACAATTAGGTCTGCCATAAATGAACTTTAAATACTTTTTTGGGTAAATCTGTAAACTTTAGTATTAACAGCTCAATTCCTTTTTTTCCTTCTTCATTTTCTAACACATACTGGTATACACCTTCTTCCTAGAATCCTAAAAATAGATTTGAAAAAGAACTGTTTTGATATAAGAAACTTGAAAAGAATGTCCCATATATCGAAGAGTATTTTTAAGTGACCAACTAATAGAGGGGTGCCACAGGGTAGTATCTTTGGTTCTCTACTATTTTGAGGTATGCAGATGATTTACAACTATATATATCGTTTGAACCATGGAACTATGAAGACGCTCTCCGCATGTTGCACTTACTTTTAATGCTGGCAAATCAGTTATGATGCTGTTTGGGGGTGGATATCAGATATTGGCGGAACATAGTACGGCTAGAGATCGGAGGAGTCCCGATACCATTGGTTGCTGATGCAAAGAATTTGGGTTTAGTTATGGACAATAAATTTAGATATAAGAAGCAAATTTCGAAATACGTTTCTAGTTCATACTTGCAATTGCAAAAACTATTTCCCTTCAGAAATATGTTATCTTTGCGCTTGAAGAGGCTGTTGTGTGAGTCACTTGTTCTATCGCAATTTACTTATCTGACTCATGTCTATAATGCATGTTTGGACAGTGTTGATGTGGTTAGGGTACAGAGAGTGCAAAATTCTTGTTTGCGCTACATACATCTTCTTTCTTTAAATTCTTTTCGTTGCATAGATCTGTTCGATAGAACAAGACTTGAACTACCACCTTTAGATCAATTTCCTAGAGACCAAAACATCCATGAAAAGTAACTGTTTTGCAGTCCTCCGTTTCCGTGGTAAATTTCATCATGGAGTGTTGTGAGTTCAGCAATATAGCATCCGAAACGTTAATACTTTGCCAAAAAACGCACATTTTATTACGAAAGTTTCTAGTTCTAGATCTACTGTCAGTTCTAGTCAGTATTTAGTTCTTATATCATTTCAAATATATTGATTATTTCCTCGTATGTATAATAAACGAAATCTTCGACATTCTGTTCAGTAGGATTTGGCAAAATTGCAGATATGACAGTTAGGTCTGTTATAAATAAACTTTAAATACTTTTTTGGTTAAATCTGTAAACTTTAGTCTTAACAGTTCAATTTCTTTTTTTCTTTCCTCATTTTCTAACATATAGTGGTATACACCATCCTCCTAGAATCCTAAAAATAGATTTGAAAAAGAACTGTTTTGATATAAGAGACTTGAATAGAATGTCCCATATATCGAAGAGTATTTTTAAGTAGGTAATTCAAGTAGGATGTTCCTCCTCGTCATTTCATGTATCCCCTTTGTAGGTGTTGTAAGAGGTTCTGGTGGATGTATTCAATGTCCGAACCCCCTATATCCGGTCAAAATTCCGGCGGTAGTGTAATCCGATCTACCTGTATACGTACAACAACAAGAAAAAAGAAAAAAATAAAACCGGGACAACAATGGTTTGGACGTAATTTGACACAGGTCATATTGTCCGAAATGATTTTTTTCTTTTCAATTCAAGAATATAAGAAAGCACCTGTTAAGTTGTATAAAAAAATTAGTTTTTTTTTTAATTTGACTTTTGGAGTGCCAAAATTTTTTGGTAGCGATTAAAATCGTTGACTCTTGGTGTCGGTTTTGTAAAGTTTGAAAATTAATTCGAGTAGAGAGAGTTGAGGAGGAGAGCAAACTGGTTCACCGTAATCTCTTCGCAGACGTTCGGCCCGAAAGTAGATAGACTCGACAGATAAGCCCCCGGTTTAATTTAAAGTTGGTAAACTGCGCCGGAGATTATGAATGAAAAAGCGTGTAATGCCGTTCCCGGAGTTCTCTCGGAACCTTCCTCAATGGATCTCGTTTTGCCATTGTTGAGTTTGGGGCCACTTACAACCCGATTTATTAACCTTAACCAGGTACTACAAAACCATTTAAAAAAAAGGAAAGAAAAAATCTTTTTTTTTTATTACAACTTCCTATCTACTTGTTTAACAGATAATTTACATGATCATGCTATATTACAGATTCAAACAAGGTGTTATTAACGGTGATAAATTCGTAATGAATTTTTTTTAAGCTTTTAGCATACCAAATGAAACACGTAATTACGTTTGATGGTTGTTTCGTTTCGAGTAACGCACTCTCTCTTTACTTACACATACGATAAAATTTTGCGCATTAAAAGGCCGTTTAGAAGAAGAAGTTGCGCCCGTCGTAAGTCGTCATAACCTTTCGACCGTTTTATTGGCCCTTCTTTGCTATAAAACGGACATCAAACGCTCAAATCCCGCGAAACGTTAATATGCCATAAATAAGCCGCTAAACTCGTCCCTCTTCTCCTAAAATATGGCAATTAAATTATTAAATATGACCCCTATTTATGGTTTACTCCTTGGAATGTTTGCGATTTTTTTTAAGTGGACAATCGGACAACAACTAAAATTGATTGAATTACAGAAATGAGTTTCTTTGTTAAAAACGTTATATTTTTGCTCAAAGAGTAGACAAGAAATCTTAAGATGCTTTAATTATACGAAGTTGTTGAAAAGAAATTTATGCTTTTCACGTGTCTTAATGACCAGAACGAGGCTTATGGTCAATGACTCGGCCATCCACTTGCTCTCTTCGGTCCGAATATGGGCCAAAAATAGCACACCGGGTACGTCTGGTCAGTGTTAGAAGAATGTTGACCTGCGGACGTCCCACTGTGTACGAAGAATATGAATATAGAACGGGATCTAAGATTAACACAAGAATATCATAAACAATTTAGATTTTTCGAATCGATTTTATTATTATTATATTTTCGATAAATATCTGCAATCTTTATAACGATCAACAAAATTTGGAACGTTTAGTATAACATTTTGGTATTGAATTCATTCTTTTTATTCGTTCTTTGTCCATTTCCTACAATAACCAGAAATATTGATGGTAATCGCGCAAAATATCCTATTTCGGACGAATCCCGTTTTTGTTACAAAAGGAGAAATGGACCATTTATAATATCTGTAAGTGACAGTTTCGGCCGGAGGTCGCAATCGTAACGAAATGCAATAGAAAAGATGGAAAATATGCAACTCATCCGAACCGTTTGCATGCATCCACATGGTTCTCACAGGGTAGAATCAAGCCCAACTTAATTTTAACTCAATTTTTATTCCCCTCAATTTTTTTTATACTTTGATTAACTAAATTCGATTAAAACCCATTTCAACATTCTCAACAACAATTTCAAACAATATTTATTTTCTAAAAACTAAAAGAAATCTCGAAGAATATTTTATTTTTTGTTACGGTTCTGTAACCGACCAAAATTTGGTCAGTAACCCTTAAAATGATGGATCGAGCATCCCTCAGTCGGCCACATTGCCCTTTTTGTTGTCCCCCGTTTCGACCAATGCAAAATGTCGCAAATCCGACAGCTTCACAGCACCTCTTGTAAACAAGTTAACAGTAGCAAAGAACGGAATCCTATAAAATCCATGCTTGGTATGACGAATTTTAACCGTAAAAAATCAAATCGGATCTTTTGTAACCTTCCAATCGGTTTGAAAAAAATTTTCAAACCACAGATTCAAACGTTTCATTGCTAAACATAAACGAGTAATTTTTTGACAGAAAACTACAATAAATTAATGATAGAAAAGACATTGACATTTTAAACAACTCAGAAATCGATAAAATTTATAAAGGATTAAAAGGTTTACAGAAGACTTAATAAAAGGAATATGGAGAATATTAAGCAAATAGGTAAAGTTTTGAATGATTTAAAACATATTTTTTGTAAGATTAGATTTTATTAAATCTTAGTGTTTTCAAAAATGTTTGTTCTCGGAACCAAAACTACTCAACTCATTATTACTCAAGCTCAAAAATTCACTAACTCAGTCTAACTCGGTGACCAGTATTCTGGGATTTATTTAAATTTTCTGAAAAGTGCTGCATCTTCTGTACGCAGTATTAACCCAGTTTTTGGCATCTTATTTCTTATTTTACACGATGCAATGAAATTAACTCAGGTTATGAATCTTGTTCTGTTTCTTAGAGTATGCAGAATCTTTTATGGAACTGTGCAGGGTGATACCATCATCTTGGATTTTAAAATATATGCGACATAATATGAAGCTTGGATTTCTTGGATTAGCGAAATCCGAATTACGATGTACAACCTGCTTGAATTCCGAAGTCTGTGTAATTTAAAATATTTTCTTGGTGCCTGGAATCTGGACGATGTAATTCCAGGCATATTTTTGCAGTCAGGCCGGGACTTCCAGAATTAATAAAAAATAGATTGTATCAAAACATACAACTACCTGAAACGTTTTCTTGGAGTCTTGAATATGTATTGTGTTGTTTGGTTGCTTTTCTTTATCTTTTCTTGAAAGCATTAAGCACAATCAAATTTCATCAATTTCAAAGATTCCTGTGAAACTTTGTGTATTGCAGTGCATTAATCTATTCAGACTGGTACAAGACATTTTCTTGGAGTATCTAAATACATCTTCTGGAGATTTGAATTTTTCCAGTATACTTCCAGATTTTATGTTGACGTTTGAAGTTTGAATATGTTTGTTCTTGTCCCTCTGAAATACAATTTCTAAACAAAAAGTTTAGAGAAAATGACAGTAAACAAAGAAGCTAAAAGGAATAACAGAAGGAACTAAAAGGTTCCCATAAAGACAGAATGTTGATTTTGAAATTTAAGTAATGCTTAAAACAGAGACATACCATAAAGGGTACAGAAAGAACGAAGATAGAAGATGGTAAAAACCAATAAAGATTCTAGGTTCTAAAAGATTCCATAAAGAGCTCTTTGTGCCAAAAGATCGGAAAACGCCAACAATTGACAACCAACAAACAGAATGACAAACCAACAACAAGAATGTAGGACGATAAGTAAAATTAATGAGAAATAAGATAAAGAAGTTCAAGAATAATTTAAAAATAAGTTTACGAAATGTGAACAGAAGATGGCTGAACGAAACAAAAATTACAAAACTTTTATTCATTTGGAATAAAACAAATTAAGGTGATTATGTTTACCATATGCAGGATTGAAAATTGTTTTATTGCCTATGAGATTTATTGAGGCATACTCGCAGGTTGGATTTCAGATGTTGCTCTATAGCATTGTTGAATCATCAATTTCTCTCTTCAGTAGTTGTCCGATTGCGCACGTCGTAATTTGTTCATGGACGTTATGGGGTCTTCTATAGTACGCATTATTTGGGAAATCGATATTTATGCCAAATCTTTTACTTGATCTATATATCTCAACTTTGTCCTGCCTCTTGATCTTTTGCTATCAACCTTCCCCTGTACCACGAGTTTTCCATCATGTCGTTCCTTATTGCATGATCGAAGATTTTAGGTATTTAATCATCGACATAAAATTGAAATAATCTTCGAAATGGTAAAATGTTAGAGTCATTCCCGTAATTACTTCATTGAAAATGATATAGAATTCTTATTCTTTGAATAGATTAACTGCGAGTGGAGATAATATTTTGCAACTGGACCGGATTAGCGCATTCGTAAATTGTGATGTTCGATTGAAAGTTTTTTGGATTAAAGATAAGGTTGAGCTGAGTCATAGGCGTTAGAGCCTGAACATTTCTGACTGAGTTGCGTTATTCTTTGAATTATAATAAGCTTCGATGGAGGTACTTATGAGCTGAACATAAAGTTGTGTTGAGATATTCTTCTACTTTGGAAAGATTCAGTTTAAGATTTCACCCAATATTAACTTGATACGTGAACGTTTCATCTACAGCTTACTAAGTGAATAAAGAGTAATATCTTATCGAGTTTACGATCCGTCTTGATCTTAAAGGACTAACTTATTGGGAACAGTTAGTGTTTAATAATTTAAATAGATGAAATAAAAGTTGTGTAAAAGCTGCATTGTATAAACTCTTCCTCTCTTCTGCCTTTCCTCTTCCTTTCCTATTCCTCTTCTCTTCCTCTTTTTCTCTCAAACTTATGGACAGCTTGTCCTTATGTTCATGGAAGAACCAATAATGGTATCACTTGGATTTTGTTAGCCCCCCCCCATAGAACGGTATTCTTGTTAACTATCGATTGACATCTTCTTCCTGTTTTCTGAGTTGCCGCTTTTGCCTTATAACGTTTCCTTACCCTACGCCAGTCGTCTCATGGTTGATACTCCAGCTTTTTTCGTCGGAATTCAGTTGATTTATGGATTTGTCGTGGTTAGTACTTGTCATAAATGGCCCATAATGCTTCTTAAAATAAATATCACCCTCCCTTTTCCCTTCCACCCATATCTATACGGCAAAGTTGTATCATTGGTGTACGTAAAGATTGTCTGGTAAGTTCTGCCATGTTAAGTTTTCTTGTAGTCGTTTGAGTACTTCCACTATGGTTTGTAGCATAACCACTATTATGTTTACCATTTTGAAACCTGAGATTTGTTTTGTTTTTTTCAGCGAACGTAGGTATTTGACGTTCTTCGTAGAATACATAGTTTCCAATTATGGCTCGGGTGGCACCACAACGGTGAGTAGGCATGCTATGTTTTCATTTTTCGTGGTGACCGAAAAGTCAGATAAGCTATGTTATACCGGTTTATTGATTATGATTTTACAATTCTGGTACAAATTGAATTGGTATCTCTAGATCACTTCCACCTACACGTTGATATGGTGTTACGAAAAATGTTGAGGACTATTTATCGTTGCTATCGCGTCATAGCTTTCCAAGTACGGAGGTGTAAGGTGATACAGTCTTCTTGATATAGGCGATATTTGGCGTTCTCAGCGGTTTGGTTTGTTATTTACTATTTTTAACCATTAGAAACCACTAGATATTATGTTCGTATATTACCTCATCGTACAGATTGCATAAAGGGGTTTCTTTGTATGCTTTTCGATTAATTGCTGCCGTGGTCCTCAGTGACAATGACTTTATGCAGGTCATTGCACATTGCCCTTCACAGCAAGTGTTTTTTTAGATTGGCCACCAAAATATAATGGCAAGAGTCCACACTATTTTGCCATTTTTTTACACATCTGCTATCAGAACATCTTTTTCGTTTCTATATCTAAATCTGTTAATTCCTTGTTGATCCAGTTGATTACCATGCAATTGTTGTTGAACTCTTTATATCCGTGCTGTATCATTTATTTATATACAACGTATGATTTAGGTGATTGGACTATTTGTCTGTGATACTTATAGATTGGTATCTTTCGGTATCTTTCTTGAAGATATAATAGGGTCGTCTAACATTTAATCTATTTATCCAAATAATATTTGAGGTGTATACCTAGAACGTGAAATTTTCTCTTTAATTATTATTAGTATTTATTCAAATATTCACAAATTTTAATATAACTCCAAAACTTTTTTTATTTTAGGAGATAAATTTTTAGTATTAACCAACATGAAATACTTCATAATAATGTTTGGATTATCATTAATATTATACTTAGGAGATGTCGTATTAAACATAAGAACATGTTGTAAAATAGACCCTTTAGAAGGAAGCGGGTTTTTAATAAAAACTAGAGGATGTTCGATTCCCAATTATCTCACATTTAACGTTAAGGTAAACCGAAGATACGTTAACAATTTTCAATCTGGACGTTGTTCACCGGATGTAACAAAATTTGTACATTCCAAAACTTGGCACCAAACCAATATCATTTACATCGATTCAAAACTGGTTCAAAATTTATTCGAAAATCAAGAAAACTTTTCATGCTCCTATTCCCCCTGCAATAAAGAAGATTTAGAAAACTGTTTTAACGAGAAATACTTATTAAGGGCAGCTGCGAGAATAACCGATCTTTACGTATTAGTAGATTGTAGTTATAACAATAGGATAATTTTCAATGATTTTTTTACGTTTCCCTCAAATAAAGAATTATTACCGAGACTCGATAAGAAAAAATCGAAAAATCAACTTAATGTAGTTGTTTGGGGACTTGATGGTGTTTCAAGGCAAGGATTTCATCGCCATTTTCAACGTACAGCAAGGATAATGGCAAGATTACAAGCAACTCAATTTCTTGGATATACTAAAATTGGTGAAATTGCTTTTTCGAACATAATTCCTTTATTAACTGGTGTAAAAGATTATCGTGAAATTAATTCATCAATTTTTTCCGATTTTAAAAATAAAGGGTATTTAACATCGTTTGCTGAGGAAGAAAATAAATTTATAAATCTTTTTCCCTTCGAAAAATTTGATTTCTATTGGAACACTGAATATTTAAATTTATCTAAAAATGATTGCCCCCAAAATAAGTTGTTTGAGTACTCTGAAAGACTTTTTATGTATTTGCATCAAAAAGAAAGGGATTTCTTCGGATTGTTTTGGTCTAAAAAATTTAATTATCTCGATGTATATTTATCACGGTTATTAATAAAATTAGAACAATCAAATGTGTTAAATAACACTATTTTTATATTGGTGAGTGATCATGGCGATCAAAATAACAAGTTAAGGTTAACGCATTTAGGAAGTATCGAAGATCGTTTACCTTTATTGTACGTTTATTTTCCTTTGTGGCATAAACAAAGTTTCAAGGAAGCTCATTGTAACTTGAAAAGAAACGCCGAAAGACTTGTTACAACTTTCGATATCCATAAAACGTTACAAACATTAACAGATCCGTTTAATATAAATTACGAAACGAATGATTTTAATCTTAATAAAAGTGTCAGTTTGTTTTCACTGATTTCAACAAGAAGAACATGTGAAACTGTTGAAATTTCATCACATTTCTGTAGTTGTAATGGATTTAAAGATGTTGGAGTTGAAGAAGATGTATCAAACGAAATTATGGATTACGTAAGAGAAATTAGCAATGATACAACGAAAATTTTAACAAATCGATTACATTTACCACCAATTGGGTTTAATCAAAATTTTGCGGATTACACAGTTTTATTTTCATCGAATTATTCTAATCTACATTATGAAGCAACAATTAGAAAAATAAATGGGAGTGATTATAAAAATCATTTTAAACTTATTGGAAATATTAGTGAAATTGAAACTCCTGGTAAGTTTATTTTATTTTTAAACTATCTTTAATTCATTCTTTAAAATCTCAATCACCAATTTGTAAGTTAACAATCTTTCTTCATAATCGTTTAGAAAACTGACCATTGTCTTTTCGCCCACTCCTTCAAAACTCGTTACTCTATGAGTTATTTCGAGGTGTGATCGACGAACCTTTTGTACTTTTTATTTAGATGAATTTTTTTTCAAAAGTACCTCACTTTCAAGTTTGCAATTTGCAAAGTATACAACCTAACTAGTCCTTTATTTCGAACTTTGTAATCAGTCGGTGAATTGTTTAAGTTCTTAGGCGAATACAAAGACACCGCTCAATATCTCTTGATGTTTGAGGATTCATTTATTCAATTTTATTCGAAGGTTGTGCTTGTCAAAAAAGAATTTGACGTAAATAAAATAAATTGGGGTTGAGATTTTTTTTGTGGTTCTAAATTATTTGTGATCCTTTTTAAAATGCCTACTTCAAAAAAAATGTGAGTGAATAGGATTTTATTTAATTTATCTATAACTCATTTAATTTTATATTTTTAGCAATGTCTACAGTTACAAACACCTTAAATTAATCTTTTTAATTATTCATGTGGCTACGATACTTTACGCTATTGATATGACTTTGGTGAATTCTTGTACTTCAACTCAACATGATGAGGCGTTGAAATCTAGAAATGCTTCGTTATGTCAACCTAGAGAATGGTTTTTATGTGATCCCTCATCAGTTCGACTTTGTGTTCATGAATGTTCTGGAGATCTAATTAGTTACCCGGACTTCTCCGGTAATTTTACGCGAAAATCAATGTATAATCCGGTTGGTTTGGGAGATTTATTGAAAATTATCTCAATGGATTTTAATTTTTTAACGAACCTACATAAAACTCAATGTTGCTTGGATTATCCCATTTACGTGAACGACAACAAAAAAATGTGTGTTAAAACTATGGATTTATTGCCGATTTTTAATGTAGAATGTAGCTGTAGAAAAAGAAATAAATTTTTTGAAAATTAGAATAATCGGTTTAACATGTACAAGAAGTTGTAAATTAAAAATTATATTTCAAAAAGAATGTTTTATTGAAAAATAAATATTTTTATTAACAAAATTTTAGCTCAATTATAGCTGAGGATGACGAATAACCGAATAACGAATTGATAGAGAATGCTTCTGATATTGATCTACTTGTCAGAAAAAATGTTTTGCAATACAGGGCAAAATGAACTTTACAACAGGTGTAGTACAACTGAAGGTACCATTAGAAACAACTTCTTTTTTTTGGAAAATTTGTATCTTAGAGTTTGCGATGTGTATCAACGAAGTCCTTACGAGTAAAGCACAAAAAAAGAATATAATAAAGAAATGGCAAGAATATGAAGAAGCGAAAGTTGAAATTGCAACATCTAAGAAAATCTTCTGGTCATACTGCTTGAGGAGTTGTAGTACTGTTGTATACTGCGAAAACAGAGAAATCGCTAAACCTAGTCTATGAAACTATAAACGGAAGCGTCACTTTGGAATTTATTCGAGATCCCAAAAAATAAGGAAAAATTTACTAGTAAGGTTCTTGGGAATCAGGCAAAAGCTAAGATGGTGATTAGATTGCATCTTTCCGCATTGGATAAGACACAAGGATAAAGTTTGCGGAGAATGTCCACCAACCAGGAAAAACTGTCTTCTAACAAAAAGGCCGCCAAGTAAAAAAAATAGTTATTAAGCGCAGATAAAGCTACCTAAATAACAAAGTCCCAGCGTTGCGAGCAAGAACGTTTTGACAACAGTTGTGAGACCGGTCGGTTGTCAATAGAGTGGTTGTGTTCGCTGGTCACCCTCCTATGAACTACTGGGATGGTAGCGTAACAAGAAATATCAGAGAAGAGATAGATACATTACTTGAGCAAAAACCTTTATTAAGGCTCATAGTATACAACTTTTGAATTGTTTTCTGGATGACGATCGATCAAGTTCGAAGCAAAGGTCGCTCGCGGCCGAGGTGCTAGATAAGGCCCATCCAGCCATTAGTTAATGAGAGCGCTTAAAACAACCGTAACCATGGTAACTATCCCCTAGATCCTAGATAGAGTAGCAGGAGGATGGTAAATGTGAGCCTAAGAGCGTTATGTTGTAGCAGCAGGATGGATCCTGGATTGCTACTACACCATATATTCAATATTCACGTATCTGACGGAGATATAGAGACTGAAATCGAATGTCTGTTGGTTTGGATGCTGGGAAGTAAATACCTTCTAATACTGTATCTAATCCACTGTAAACTGTGGAATTTTGCAAAAATTTGGAAAAGATTTTGTTAAATCTTGTATGCGTTGATATTGAGTCGCAATATAAACGTTAATCAAGAAGCTGCATATCAATAGCAAACAGTAGAAAAGCAGATATCGTTGGCACGTATGCCATATAGGAAAAAAAGCTTACGTTTACTCGACATGGGGTCTAGAACTGCTCCGCTAATGAAACACAAGAGCTTTTGAAAAATGGGAAATGGGGAAATATTCTTGATATTAATTAGGAACACCGCAGGTTAGGGGGTACTGTAGGTATGTACGGTAAGCGATCAAAATATTCGTTTTACTGTGAACTTTATAAGTATATAATTTGTTAATATCAATAAAGAGAAAACCTGGAAATCTTAAACCAGCAACGTACTGGTGGACAATCGAGATAGTAAATCTTCGCAAAGCATATTCAGGCTTACAATTTAATATTAGAATTCGGAGCACCGATGCGCTAATAACAACTAATCACCAAGAAGGAAAAGGAGAATGAAATTAGAGATAACATTGATCGTAATTTATTATGATGTTTGACGCTGGCAAAAATATAGATATTTCCAAACTATCGCTCGAGAACTATAAAAATAATTATCTTTTGGTGGAATGGCCGACGATGTTCTTCTGTTCAGAAATGAGTTAGTGACAAATACATGATAAAGCAAATAGCTAGAATACTTTTTGATATGTTTTGTAAATATGAAATAAACTAGAAATGCTTTGAACTCCAGACTATCTGATGCAGCCTCAGTAGAAAAACATGGTAACTATATCATAGATCCCTGTTAGACCCTGAACACTTGAATGTTTTCTGTTTTCTATATGGTATTATGATGAGAAATTCCTCTATATGTTTGTTAAAACATTCCTCGTATATACTTGCTTGACTTGGACTGCGGAGGCGTTAATAAAAGTCGCGGTCAATTCCAGACAGAAAAAAAACAATCGATTTAACAGATAGTTTGTGTTACTTGAACTAAACTTTACGGTTGTAGAAACGGAAATTACCAACAGGAAAATGTTCAACTCTACACATCTCAAGTATATCGGCAGCAAAGTGGACGAGGTTCTGCAATTATGTTTAGCTGTGTTGTGGAAAATATAGAGGTATCAACTTACGACATTCACTTTTAGACCATTTTTGGACATAACTATGTTTGAAAATATCTATTGAATATTGGCAAGGTAAGCAGTCCTATCCATATGACAATGTATTCCTGGATCATATTGAACATATACTTGTCAAGTGCAAGGACGAGCGGAATGAACGAAGAAAGCACCGTCGCCAGCCCTTACTGTTTAGGCATTCAATACGGTCGTTAATCAAATAAGCTGCATGGTTTAGGGTAATAGCTTTCATCCCACTGACCTTGAGTAAAAAGAAAAGGCGAAAGGATGATTCCATTCGCGGGCTCTACGTGTGCTCCATCACTGTTATCATTTTATGGTCTTGTTTGTCGAAAGCATTTGAGGGGGTTTACCAGGTGAGAAAATCCTTGCAGATCACGGTGTTACTGATCCTAGTTGTGGAAGACACAAAAGGAATATTTCTTGAAAGTTGCGATAGTTAGTGTTGGATGACCGACAATGCTAAGTTAGGTGATTGACCAACTGGGGAAGTAACTAACAAGTGGGGAAGCAGCTAAGTGTGTTATTATATAAAGTTAATAAAATGGCTAAATGATGTTCTTTATGACATATTTATATTTTATTTTCACTTTTGCCACCGGTTACCTTTATTAGGTTGTTTCCTTATTTTTGCATTCCTAACCCGAACAGACCGAATCTATTTTTTGATCTTATTACACCGTTTGAAGGAAGCTGGTGCAGAGAGTCTGAATATCTTTCCAAGATAGAATACAAATATATAAGCCAATCTGATAACACGGCGATTCCACGATATCTGTTATCTATAAATATAGCCCTAACAATTTCAGTATGTGCTTCTCCGATTAATCATTTTTAAAAAGATTGCTCCATTTTGTTCGCATTTAGTTTGCGGTTGTTATTGATTATTTATTAACCTGACCTATTAACTTTCCTATATTATATTGAGGATGCGTTTAGATTTAACCGTTTTTACAAACCCCTTTGCCACGTAAAATTTTTTATTCAAAATTATAGAGAACATTTTTTGGCTTAAAAAGAAAACTAATAGCTGAGTGCCATATAAAATTACGTGCCCTAATTTTTTGGAGAAATTCGGGCCTCAACTGTGTAAGGGTGCTCCATGGAGATTAAAATTTTATTATTAATACCTAACTTTCGGCTTCATTAGCACCAGTATATCTGTGCATAACTCAACTTATGGTGGATTCTTAGCTGCATATTCCTCAACAACAACAATTATGATAAAAGCCTTTTGTACTGTATCCTATTAGGAGGGGTGCACGATTTTAATCCAGATTTTAAACCGAACAAGGGCAGAAGATGATGGTGTCGTATTGTATCAATGACTGAATCAATTATGTAAAGAGTTAAATAGAAAAGGTTAAATAAAACATGTGTTTTACTGATGACAACTGAGCTTACTCAGTAGCGTTATTGTTTCTTCGATTACATCTACATATGTATAGTTTGACGCATTGACGTTTAAAACATCATCTGAACATCTGTCATTTCTGGTGAGCTAAAACATTCTCTTTGGTCATATAAAATTAAGCGTTGATCCTTTCTTTTTTTCATCGGTGTTTCTCATCTTCCATTAAACGATATGAAACGATATAATATATTTTTTTGTTAAAGCTCAACTATTTATTAGTTAAGTCTACTTTACATGCACGTTCTGCAACAAATAAATATATAAATTAGGTAATACAATAATACATAAATGAAATTTCATAAAATTAAGACAAAATCTTTAAGATTTGTATTCTAGAGAATGTAGTGATTTCTCGTGCTCGTTGTGTTAGTTTTATACACAAGGAAGATTCTGTCGATCATGTCACGGTCGCAAAATGATACAATCTCTCTGGCTACCGGCCATTTTTTCCGCCTTAAATTATCTCGCGATGTCAGGTACAAGATCTCGAATCTGTCGCATCTAAATAATGGCCTTTGTACTAATGCATTAAATGTAAATGCCGTTCCACATTTCCAACCTGGCATTGTCTTCTTATTTCGAAAACCAGAAACGTCCTCTTACCACCACTAAACCATCGTTGTTACATCTTTTCTTCTTTCACTTCTTCAACAATTTTGAAACATGGCCTTTATTACATCGCCATCTTTTAAATAAAAACATTAAAATGTTTGTTTGGATCTTTAACAACTTTTAGGGAAGACGTCTTGGGTCGTATATCATTTTGCGAAAGCGAGTTCTTAACAGTAATTTAAGAGTTTTTGAGAAAGGTCTAAGCGCGTCAAATCCCGATAGCGTACGGGTTATTTAGAAGCAACCGCGCACGTTTACATAGTAAATCTCTTGGAAATATATTGGCGTCTGGTCGTTTATCCATTCTGGCCATCTTCGAAGTGTAAAACACACAGAGTCGGCTGTACCACGTACAGTTTAGCGAATTATTAGCTTGGACGGGACGCCAAGTTTTACTTTTCCTAACCGTGTACTCCATGATCGTGTCTTTTTAACTCTTCTATTGGTTTTAGTTCTAACGTCAGTAAACGACACCCCACAAACCAGCCAACGTGGAAACCTTAAACTTTAAACATCGCTAATTTGATCTTTTCATTATAAGTTATAATTAACAATTTGCAATAAAACATTTAAAATGAATTATTAAGAAATACAATTTTGCACACTTTCGAATAACAAGAG